CTCAATGCCATCATCCATGTCCCCATGACTTGGGGAATTTAATTTATTACCAATTAAATCAGACTACAATAATGAGAAATAAAACCAGATCTTAAAAACCTTCACCCTGCTAATCCCTTCTTCCCAGGGCCAGCTTTACTACTGATTTCTCTACGTCCTCCCACCACATGGTTCAGGGTAATGAGGAATGGGGGTTGTGGTCAGTTCATCACACGCTGCTGCTCCTTCCTCCTCAGTCAGGGAGGACTCCACACTGCCCTTGCCACAGCGTGAGGTCCCTCCCACGGCAGACACTGCTCCACGAACATCTCTGATGTGAGTCCTTCCCATTGGCTGCTGTTCTTCATGAACTGCTCCAGTGTGGGTCCCTTCCCACAGGGTGCAGTCCTTCAGGAGCAGCCTGCTCCAGCCTGGGTCCCCTGTGGAGTCACAAGTCCTGCCAGCAAACCTGCTCCAGCCTGGGCTCCTCTCTCCACGGGGCCACAGGTCCTGCCAGGAGCCTGCTCCAGCATGGGCTGCCCATGGGGTCACAGCCTCCTTCAGGCATCCCCCTGCCCCAGCATGGGGTCCTCCTGGGCTGCAGGTGGGTCTCTGCTCCTCTGCGACCCTCCATGGCTTCAGGGGCACAGCCAGCTTCACTACTGGCTGCAGGAGAACCTCTGCTCCAGCTCCTGGAGCACATCCTCCCCCTCCTTCTCCACTGACCATGGTGTCTGCAGGGTTGTTCCTCTCACATGTTCTTACTCTCTCTGGCTGGAATTGTGCAGGTTTTTTTCCCTTCTCCAATACATTATCACAGAGGTGCTACCACTGTTGCTGATGGGCTAATCCTTGGCTAGCGGCGGTTCTGCCTTGGAGCTGGCTGGCGTGGGCTCTACTGGACACGGGGAAGGTTTCTAGCAGCCCACCCCTGTAGGCCCCCGCTAGCAAAACCTCGCCACACAAGCCCAATACGATGATATTATGGGTGTTGCTTTAAACTTGCTGTTTATCTCTAGACTTGTTATTTCGCTGGAAGGCAGCTTCTGCTGAGTCTTCAGCATTGCTTCTAATGATGAGTTCCTTGTGCTTTTTAAAACACTGCAGCTCGGTAAGATTTCAGGCATTCAGTTCTGTGTGCTCTGTGTTTTATGGTACAACATTTGATGATTGGTTTCTCTCATTTTGCTTTCTTCTTCCTGAGGATTTCTGTTTTGCAGGCAGATTATTATGCCCAACAAATAAAAGAACTGGAAGAGAAATTTCAGAAAAAAGTCAGAGAAATTGGCCAAATTCAATTAGAACTGAAATTAATGAAGGAGTTCTGTAGGGTGAGACCAGCTATGCGGAAAGTGCTGGAAGATGTAAGTTTGCCATAAATATGCATTGGCAATATTTATTTAAAAAGCAACTTTTCTGCCTGCATGGCAGCATAGTTTGGGAGTGGAGGAGAACAGGCATGGCTGTTCTACTGGGTTGTTTTCTTGCCATTACAGAGAGTGAGGAAAGGCACTAGGTTGATGAAATGCAAGCACTGTAGCCAGAACACCCTTCTGTAATGGCCCAGTGCTGTAGGGTTGGTTTTGCCTTTTTACACAGTAACATGGAAGCACACCAACACCTATGTGGATGGACTAGAGCATCTAGTACACACTTTAAAGATCTGTATGGAGGAGCTAGCGATTGACATTAAGCAGAATAAGCCTGACTGATTTCTCACTAGTCAGCTTAGTTACTGGAATTGTTTTCACCCACGAGAAGGGGCATAGCAGCAACACCTAATGCTTTCCGTGGAGACAAATGATTGGTCAGCAGCATTTGGATTATTAAGTTATTAAATGTGAGTTAGGCCTTTTCAAAGAACGCCTGAGGCGTTGGAGTTTGAATGATCTTGATGGCCAAGTAGAGAAAGTAAAGCAGATTTCTAAAACTGAGCATTAAACCAAGTGACAGAATGTGTGTGAATGACCATCAGTGATATGAAAATACAGGCACAGGTGACCTATAAAGGAGAAGCAAAGCAGTAATACAAGTCAGAAGGGTACGTGGATTTTATAGATTATGTAGGAATTTGATGAGGAGTGTGGGTAGTGCCAGGAAAGACTACCAAATTCCTTCTTGAAGAGTGCATCCACACTTCTAGATAGATAACTGAAATGAAAGAAATTTTATTTTTTACCATAGTTAAAAGGGAGTATGGAGCTTTCAAACAGGAGACAACAGGAAGTGGTGGTGAGGTTGGAGAGGAGGTTTCTTGAAGAAAAGGTAAAGTTGAGCAGGCAGTTAAAGAAACTTTAATTAGAACAAAATTATTTTTCCCACTGACTACTCTGGTTTATATAGTTTCCACTGTTTTTTACTGAGCATTTTCCAGTTTCCCATGTCAATACAAGTACAATGAGTTGGAGGCTAGGTGCAGCTTTCCAAGGAAAAACATGGGATGTCAGGGTCCCAGAAAGGCCATATTCTCCACTTCCATCAGGAACATCAGGAACCCCTCTGGGGTTCATTCTTTCTCTGCCAAGAAGTTGGATGAGCTGAAAACTCTGGTGGGATTTTAGAATTTACACCTTTTCAGGTTTTAGCTTTGGTGCCACAGGTCTCCTGCAAAATTTAAACAGGCTTTTCTCCCTTTCAGAAAAAACTGGAAGAAGATGTGGAGAAAAAGCAAATGATGATGGCAGAGACTGCCCTGCATGAGGCTGTTTTGTAAGAAACACTTGCTTTTCCTGTTTTCTACTTTACAAATCCATTTGAGCAGTGTCTTCTAAATAACAGGTTGCCCATGTTACTACCTGGGCTTTGAAGGGCAAAACCAGTGATGACTTAGGCTGTTTTTATATTTCAGACATCAAGATGATGTCAGCACTTACATTTAAGCTGTAAGACTCATACTGGTTCCAGGGGAGAACTGAGGTAGTATTATCACACTGGAACTGCTCTTTTCTTCATTCTCCCAGTCCAGATGTAGGACTAGAAGCAAAAGCTATGAAAACTTGGTACATCCCTGTAAGAATTTTACAGCTCAGGTCTGAAATTAGGACACTGAAATACTGATTTTAATATTAAAAAACCAAGAAAGGTTGTGATTAAAGCTCTTGGATTTTGTTTCCTTCTGTCCAGACAGTTGAACAGAACTGGGAGAGGAAAGTGCTCGTCTTCGGGGTGCATTTGCTTACCAGCTGAAAAAGACAATGGAATTGCAGAAAATCAAACAGAAGTTAGAAGAGGACAAAATTCTTCTGTTAGAGGAGAAGGTTTCTGCTCTGGTTTTAATTCTGTTTCATCCTCTTCCGGGAAGGGGTACGTCTGGATACAGATGTAAATTTTCCAAGACTAACGTCTTGCTGGTCAGACACCTCCGCAGTTAGTGAGTTCGGAGTTGTCTGAAGAAGAGCTCTTACTATGCTTAATTATGGAGGAGAAGGAAGGAAAAGTTTCCCATGATAGCCCATTTCCGTAGTGTATACTACATACCAAGCCTTCTTTAGCTGGTTCCTCTTGTAAACAAAATCCTGACCCCAGAGAGGCATTCATTCTCCAGCGTGAAGGTGCCAGCATGTTTACTACATTGTCAGTGTTGGGCAGGAAACGATAACCAACACTCCAGGTTTGGTGTAATAAAATAAAAGCCAAAGTAATTTATTTTCATCTTTTAGGAAACCAGTGAGATTTTGATTCAAAAAAAGACCCTACAGATCAATCGCCAGAAAGCACAGATTGGAGATCTGCAGCGTAAAGTGCAAAACCTGGAGATGGCCTTACGTCGCATGAGAGAGGCTCAGAAAACACAGCATCAGGCGCTGATAGAAAACCAGGCAAGCATGGTGGAGATCAAGAAACTGCAGCAACTGCTAGAAATGAAGGATCGGGAGATGAACCGAGTGAAGAAGCTCACATGGAATATCTTAAATGAGAGGACTGAGGTGGAAAGGTTCTTCCTAGATGCTCTGGAACACGTGAAGCAGGAGATTGTATCCAGTAGAAAGCCCTGTAAGAAAAAGGCCCAAACTGCCTATTACAGAAAAATGCTGGAGGCATGTGCAGGGAAGGAAGAATTTCCCAAAATTAAAACATTCAAAAGGAACATAAATAGCACAAATAGCGTGTACAGAGACCTAGAGGAAGAAGAGAAATGCTACTGATATTGAAAAATCAAAAGCTATTGTCTGTCTTCCTAGCACACCTGAAAAAAACTCTTTGTGTGGTAATGTTGTCTGGATCTGGAATGCTTGTGGAGGCTTCTGTAGTGAGAATAACTGTACGAGGTGTAATATCCTATCAGCTAGTAAAGACTTTGTGAGCAACTAATTTCAACAGGCTGTCACTTTTTGGTCATTATTTCTATGGGTATTTAAAGATCAGCTGAAAAGAGTTCTTTGAATGTCTGCCATGTGCTGCAGAATTTAATATAGAACTCCCAGTATAGATGTGCTTCTGCTGTTTCTGTTTAATAATTGTTGTTGTTTCTCTAACCTTTGGTTTTATAGGCATTGCTCTTCTGGCATTACTCTTTTGCTTTTTGCTCACTCTAGTGAACTAACAACACTGAAACCTAAAAATTCCAATTAAGATGCTAACAGCTCTTCACTGTGTTGATGATCATTTTAACAGAAACGCCCAGTAGATGGCAAATCCAGTCGTCTTTCAGCTGTTCTGCCATGTGTCAGAAGCCCCTGCTTCGCACTGTGCTTTCAAAGGCTATTTTCCTCAAGCTTCATAGTAATCTAAAACTTAAGCCATTAATATGTCAAAACCAACATTACGTGCAGTACTGATAGACAAGATGACGTTTTATAGTAAATAAAGCAGAATCTCAGATTTAGAAGCGTGAGTATCTCAGAATTTGTATTAGGATGCAGCTTAGTTTAAATTAGGGCTACACATTCCACAGTGGCTGGGATTACAGGTCTCTAGCCTCCTGCCAGAAGCCTGTGCCTACAAACTGCAGCCGTGTCCAGGATTTTGAGCCGTAGAGTTAAGGTCCCCCATAGCTGAAGCTTGCATACATCCTTGGTGGGAGATCAAAATTATCTGACTCCCGGATAAAATGTTTGCTTAGTATACCTTGGCTATTGAATAACTTGGTGACGTGCAATCAGTCATAATGCTTTGTTCTGTTCAGATTATTTTATCTCTACAACTGATACAGCAGAAACACTTCATGAAGAATCAGAGGTTAAAGTAGTTATTGAGATCTAAGGAAGCTTCTCCTTGGAGGAAGAGAAGGAGGAGACGAGAACCGAGAATGAAAATTGGTTATACATATTGACCATTTTATGTACAAACAGGAGAACCAAGGGATGGACAATGTACTTGAAACTAGTATACAAGTCAGCACTAACCCTCCCCCTCACAGTGTTTATAACCACTACACGTGTAACAGAAGTAATTAGTTTTGTTCTACTTAATTTAGGAGCCATAGATTTAGAAGTTGGAAAGCCAGCACTGTGCACTCAGATCTATTTTTTGCATTTACATGCTACGAATAGCTGAACAAGAGCCATGCAAAGCTAGAATGTAAAGCCTGCCTTACACGTACAGAATCCCTGAGAGACGCCTTCAAATTTTTAATACACTGATCGGTGTCGCTGTTGAGATGGACACGACACACACGGAATCGTGCACCAAAGCCAAAGGCCAAAAAGGGACCCTTTATTGTTTATACAAGCCCATTTTATATCTTTCTTAAGAATGTGTGTCCATACATGATTGGTTCACTCAAAGGACCAGCAGTTCATGATAGGATGATCTCTTCTTTGTTACATCTTCGATAAACTACTTCTCCTTGCGGAGGCAGTACCTTGCTCTTGTTTACTCAGCTCTTCTCAGGACTTTCCAGACTCCTTAAGGGTACACGGTTATCTGCTCAAGGTTAATGTTAAGCTTACATTCCAATCCCTCAGACCAGCCGAGGTTTCCCACAGATCGTTTCTGTGTTTTTCAGGGAAAAAATCCAATTTGAAAAAGTGGGTATCAGTGAGTTGACATGGGAACAAAAAGAACGTGTTCTCCGATTGCTTTTTGCTAAAATGAATGCCACAAACCCATGGCAATACTCTCTTTCTTCAGTAGGTGAATGCTCAACTTTCCCTGTTAGAGGAGCTGGGCTGATAACTCCAGGGCAGAGGATTCCAAGAAACTCTGAATCTAACACTGTGCAGTTTGGTGTGAGATACTTTAACCTTCTGAAAATATTGTTATACTACATACCGATTTTGGACATGCACCAGACTGTACTGTTAGATCTTTGTGAGTAATATCAAAAGAAAAGCAAGAGAGAAGTGAAGAGAATTAGCTTTGCTCCATGCAGTGGGATCAATTTTGTGCAGTCATGAAGGAATTCCTATCCACCTTCACCAAAGAAGCAAATAATGTGTATTGTGGCAGTAGCACCCCCCACATACATTTCCTTTCAGTAACAGTACCATAAAGCCATCTGCCCAGTATTAAAACGTACAAATAGCCACAACCAGCTTGCTGAAAGTGTACTTACTCTATGGCTCATGGCTGTCTGCACAAGAAACTTGAGAGTATGACCGTAGAGATACCTAAAATATGGCTTACACTGGAAATTCAAAGCTCACACAGCATTAAATATATTCTAAGCTGTGAACTGGGGCATAAGAGGGCCCAAAGAGAAATCTGAAATGCTATGATTTTTCATGTGGTTTGGGGAGACCTAATGCTCAGGGTGGAGTATCACCTCCTCTGTGTTGAGAGAGTTTATTTTTTTAAAAAATTACATTTAAATGTTGTGAGCAAAAGGTACTTTAATGGGATTTTAGAAATTTTGTTAAGGTGAAACAATGAAATGTATAATTGATTCATCCATCAGCATTTATGGTGCCAATTTATTCATGGATTTAACTCCCTTGATCAGTATTTGCCAACATTTAAGAGCAAGTTTCGTACACTGCAGGGTATGAAAGCTTGAGGAGTAGAATGTAAACACTTCATTTTAAGATGACTTGGTAAACCCAGTTTAAAAAAAATACTTTTTTTTAGAATTTGTTTCTCCTCATTCCCATTTACCTGCAATGATTTCACCACAAACTACAGAATTCCATAGTGACCTGAACTCATGATGCATAGTGCTGATTTTGGAGAGTGTACGGCAATAGCCCACGTGCCCTGGCGTTTCTTGGTTGCTCTTCGAAAACGAGTTTGCTGTGGGATTAGAAACCTGCCAGAGTGTAAAGTCACTGCTGGGTGAGGATTACTTTGCTCTTGTGTCTTCCTTACAGGAAATACACCAGAGTTTTGGCTACTTCAGCGCCAGCTCCTGACAGTACTAAAGAAGAAAGCCAAGTTGGGTAAGAGACTAAATTATACCACACTATGGAACATCTCAGTCCTGGTTATATATAAAGGGATGTGATTGTCTATCATCCCTCCCACTTTAGAATATGTTGGTCTGTCTGAAGATCTCTATTAGCGTGTCTATACGAAAATAAATGTATGTGTGGCAAGAGAGGAATTTTTAATTTATTTTTAAATTTCTGGTCATGTTGATCCTTTACCAGCAGGACTGGTAAAGACCAGTCCTGACTGGTAAAGGATCTGCTTTCATGAGGAAAAAAAAAAGATCTCACGCTTTCTTAAAGCCTCCTTTTGTTGAAAAGCAGCTTTATTATTTTTGGAGGAATCTATTGTGAAAGGCCTTGATCATACAAGGAGACGCACTTTCAGCTAGCACAGGGAGTTTTGATTAAAAGGCAAAATCTATGAAGTTGATTTTTCATTCAGTATAGAATCAGAGAGAATGAACCAGGGTGAAGATTCAGACAGAGATTCAGATACAACTATATAGTTAATGATAATATCCAAGGCAAGCGGTATCGACTTACCCTGGAGGACTAAGCAGGGAGGGGTTCTGGCATGCCATCATGGAGTGTCATGTCAGACAGGAGGCAGTCAACACACAAACCAAAATGTAGTACTGAGACATCCAATGACCGAATAAAGTTCATAAGCAGGAGCTCTGCAGGGATTTCTCTGGGGAGAGACACCTTCTTTGGAGTGGTGGGTGGCCACTACCAGAAACATGAGTGGGAGTTGTAGCCTTTTTTTGCAGAGACAGTGAAAAAAACCAGAAGTGGAAGTCACAGTGCTCAATTCTCAAAGGTGGTTAAACTATTTTAACATAATTTTTGGATTTAAGAGTATCAAATAGCTTTGAGAATCTAGACTGCAGTGCCTTCTAGGCAAGACACTTCTCATAGGCGACAAAGGGTTGACTATAAAATTGTCTATTATTAATAGAGTCTAAAGAAATCTATTATGAGATACTTTATACTTTTGTATAATGTGTAAGATATATTCTTTAGCTTATTTTTCTATAGTGAATGTTGAAATAAAACAAACAGGTGGGTGGAAAGCAGTAACCAGCAAGATGAAGCAGGTACATCACAATCAGTCAGCACCTGCAGCTTGACCTAAAAAGACATTTCATTAACTAAAAAAGGCAGGTACAAGATTTTATATTTCTACCACAATTATTTAAAACCATCTGTTTAAAAAACGCTGTTGGAAATGCAGATAATCAGAAAAATATGTTTGCACACAAATTAGTGTTACACAAGTGTCTAGAACAGATCTGGAGAAAGTGCAGGGATAATCCTGCAATTCCTAAGGGAGCAGGTAAAGCTCGATAACAAAGACTGCTTTTGTTACAGGACTAGCTGGATTTTAGAATTTCTAAAGGAAAGATATAATGGGTTTTAATAGGACAACAGAAAAGTCAGAATAGCAATACTGATTAGGGAGAAAATTAAGGTGTTTTGGAAGCGAATGAATGTAGAGGATATTAGAGGCTGTTAATTAGTATTCCTTCCCCAGGTACATGAATGAATGCCAATGTCTTAGTGGTGATTCACCTGGAATATTTTACCTTTGCAGCACAGAAAATACTTCCCTCAACCCACTGTTCATTACACAGCAGGTCAAATTACCCGATTCATCATCATTTGCAGTAAACCTCCCACGAAGTCAGATGTTAAGGCCACAGAGAGAGTAAGGCAGCTGTACCCTTTGCACCAACAAGGACACAGCAGTTCCCGACTGAGCTGCGCTTACTGCGTGAGCAAAGCTGCAAATTCCAAATCCCCTGTCTGCTACACTGGCTGCTTTGGCTACATGTTTGACATCCATCTGAAATACAGTTATTTCCCTCCTTTAAAATAAAGATTTTATTCTTTCCCAAGGCAGAGGCTCAGAGGAGCCTGTACAAAGTACTAGTGGTGCTATTGGATTTGGACTGGTGGTTAGAACTCTGTCTATATGTGTTGCTAGGATTCGATGAAGTTAAGTTTTCAGTTTGTAGTAAAGCCATTTTTTGTGAAGGTGTTCCTGCCCACGGCAGGGGGGTTGGAACTGGATGATCTTTAAGGTCCTTTCCAACCCAAACCGTTCTGTGATTCTATGATTTGTGATCAAATGATGTGTATGTAGAAACAGAAACAAGGCTTTCCTTGAAATGCTGCATGAGGAAATTAGTATAGAGATCCTTGAAGTACTGTAAAAGGAGGATGCATACATGGGTTACAGGAGTCACAGACCAGCCTCTGCAAAGAGGGGAATAATGTAATGTCTTTCCAAGGAACAGTCATATTCTGCAGAGATGTTTTAGCATGTTTTAATTTGTCATCAAATTGCAAGGTGAGAATTTCCCTCTAGGGTACAGCAGAGGAAAAAACCAAGATAGAAACATTAGTGAATGCACAGCAATTGCACTAATACGTAACTGTCAGTTACAAGGCACCGTTACCAGAAGGCAGGATACAAAGTGTTCACATTCTGGTTGTTTAATTAGAGCAAGTAATGATTACAATCATTAGAATAAGCTTATTTTCTGTGGGTGCCTGAATGAGTTCCCTGCAGATCCCTCATGGTGCATCTTCTTCCAGGAACAAAAATACAGGCTCTCCAGCTACAAATGCACAGATTCTTAAAAACAGGATATACCAAGTCTTACCCTTCTGCAGTAATGGGACCTGCAGTCCCTTCAGAACGTGACTGTGTTTGAACATGTGACACAGGGTCAATTAACCAACACAAGACACAGAGCTGTAGTCAGGAAAAGAAAGCAACAGAACAGGCCTGGCTGCTTTGTGATCAAACCCCGTGTTCTTTCCTCCTACTGACCCATCTGCTTACTCTTCCTTACACCCAGACCCACGGGATCCTGGGACGCGAAGATACACATACACGCTTATGTTTCTGCTTCCATGGTTTCATTGTGTTACAGACCTGTAGGCATGTATCTGTGAACACAGTAAAAAGACACCGAACAACTTTCAGGTGTAACACAACTGACAACAAGCTGGAGAATACAAGCCATGCGCAGGACAGGAACAGAAGTTTTCAAGCTGTCAGGGGCATGGTGAAAGTCGCTGTGCCATACAGGAGTTTCTTTGATCCTCAGACAAGCAATCATATAAGCTTTCCTGAAAAATCCTTAAAAAGCTATTTCCCGAGTGTTTTGGAAACTGCTCAGCAGATGAAAGACTGACATTTTCAACTCCCAAACTTGCCGTCTTCATTGTATGTAAAGTCACTTCTGTGAGACACCCAAGGTGTCCTAGTTATGTCACTCAGAATGAGTACTCATCTTTGAGTAAGGTGAACTCAAAACCTTAACACAGAAGATAAAGAGGTAAAGAGAACTGCTACAAGATGTAGCCAGCAGTAAGTAACTAAGGCTAAAGATACTGAAGTAGAAACCACAGCAATGGTCAAGTTCAGAGGGTCTGGAAAGAAACACAAAGTAAGACCAATCTCGCTGCCTGCCCTTTCAGTTAGATAAGGTTGTTTCCTCTGTGATAGGTTATAGGAAAAAAAATTGAGTTCAGCTAGCCAAGAAACACTGACAGGAACAGAAAACTCGGACTGTGCGTTACATGAGCCTGCCTGATCTGCACAGAAACAGAGGCCCTTGAGAAATGGGAGCTTTCTATTCCTACCCAAGGATATGATAGTCAGGACAAAGCTGGAAAGTGCAGCATAGAAGGAGAAGGGCACCAGGAGCCGCATCTATAAAGGCTGACTTAATTTCCCATGGTTGGCATAACCACAGCGGGCTTGGTAACAGTGGCATCTTCCTCTTTCCATTGAGAAATGACAGTTTTCAGCTGTGTGTAGAACTGCACTCCCTGAAAGAAACGAGAGACACAAGCATCAGATGTTTGGCCTTATGAATTCTTCAGGTCTGCACCAGTGCTGTATCAAGCAGTTTTTGCTGTATCTACAAGGGATTCAGTTTTCTTCTGTGGGAACAATTCCTGTCAGCCTGTTCCTCTTAGGAGTTCCCCACAGATTCTGATTCTGTGAGAAAGCTTGCTACTTAGTTCTTCCTCCCTTCTTAAATCTCCTAAAAAAATACTTGCTTTTTTGTATTAAAGGAAAAAAATAAAGGAATCAGCTATTGTAACATGCATTATGGTGGCTAGGATCACTGGCTGGCCTTCAATTTCCTAGTTGAGGGGGCTTCAAAGTCTCCTCACTAATGAGGTCAGGTTGCCATCTCCCCATTGCCATTTATAGTGTGATTTATCCCACATCAACCCAGTAGAATACTCCGAATCAGTCAGTTACCTGCTTGCCATAGAAATTGGTGTCTCCTCTGAAAGAAGCACGAGAGCCGGTGAAAGAGAACATGGGCAGAGGTACTGGGATTGGAACGTTGACACCCACCTAAACCAAAGGAAAGCTGCCATATTAATCACAAGAAGTAGCGGATTGCAGAGGACTTCCCAAAAGCTTCTTTCCTTAAATCTGAGGCTGGGTACTGTTGGTTGAGTAGTCAGTGATTAGTCACTACAGCTGGATGGCTACCCAGTGTAAATAGTGAGTACTAACAGCAACAACTCTGGCTTGAACATACCTGACCCACATCTACCAAGTGAGAATATTTCCGAGCTGTGGCTCCGTTGGTGGTGAAGATTGCGGTTCCATTTCCATAGGGGTTGTTGTTCACCATCTTAATGGCATCATCCAAAGTATCTGCTTCTAGAACCACTAAGACGGGCCCAAAGATTTCCTCCTTGTAGCAAGTCATGTTTGGCTGCCAAGAAAAACATCAGAGAAAGCAGGTTGTATATAGGGTATAATAAACAGAATATAATACAGATAGCCTAGGAAATGGGATATAATAAACACACGTGCTGCCAATGCTCAGAAGGTTCCTAGGACCACCCATCATACTGCATTCAGTCCATCCTTCAGTCCTCCTTGCCTTTTCACCATTTCCCATGCCCTGCCATCCATCTAGTCCACCCAAGAAGGTCCTGCTTTTCATCTCCAGAGCACTTTCTGTCTAACTGCACTCCCAGGTCTCCTCTGGCCATGGCTGATTAAGACCGGTTTTAATTCAAGATAGTTTACTTCAGTTCTTGTTGATAAAGCGACTAGAACCTGCTGTCTTCTCCAACCTGGTGCTCAGGATTTATGTCTGGTAGTGAGCAGTGTCTGACAGATCCAACACCACCAGTTGGAGAGTACTTTAATCACTAATAGCTAATCCAGCAGACTACCAAACATTGATTTGACAAGTTGGAAGTTTTACATGGCTGCTATTAATCATAGCACTGTATGAAAAAATTAAACACAAAATCTCAGCAAAACCTTTACTTTTGAATACCTAGCAATATTTACGACACATCACAGGGAACTATTTGAAGATGTTTAATGAAAATAAGGCAAGAAAATTTGGAGATAGATCAAAAGCCTAAATTATAAGCATAAAGTCAATAAAATCCTAAGAATACAAAGTACAATAGCAGACTTACCAAGATTGGTTTGCTATCATGGAATCACTCACCAAAAGGCCCATGAAGAATTGAATACTTAAATATTAAGGAAATCGTGCCAGCTAATTGCATAAGCATAAAAGTAGTAATTTAGGTAAGAAAAGTCACGTGGCTGTGTACCTGGTAAAGAATATTCCCCCTAGTAGGTGTCCATCTGTGCACACCACGCAATATACCAAAACGCTGACTCAATCAAATTGTGAGCATATTTAACAACAAAGAAATTTTCTTCCTTATCCTATAGTATTCTCGTGGAGATTTCCACAAATATTTAACTTCTGTTTCTGCAAGTCCTTAAGGAAGGGTAACTGCAAGTTTGGCTGTTCATCATCCTCCTCCTGAGGCACGTGCTGCTGGCCGTTACTGCAGACAGTACGCTACACGTGATGGACATTTAGTTTAACACAGTACCAGCTGCTCATCCCTTCTTTTCACTGGCTGCATTCTGTTCAAGTGAAGATCATTAACCTCATTCAGAGTATGTCGCACTATGGCAAATTGTTTATCGCCACAACAGCACTGCGATGAGTGCTTCAATGGAATTGTGCACGGGAGAGCTGAGGCACTTCTACCTGGTGATGACTGGTTACGGACTGATTTGGGTAACCCATTTTTCAGCTGACCCTGCATCAAGCTTTGGCCATCTTACCTTGACGTTGGCAAGGATCGTTGGTCCAACAAAATTGCCATTTTCATAGCCCTTCACTTTGATATTACGTCCATCCAGAAGCAGGCTGGCGCCTTCTTTTACTCCTTTCTCAATGAGATGGCAAACCCGCTCCTTAGCTTGGGGACTGATCAGAGGCCCTAGATCTGCTCCAGGCTGGTCTCCTGTGAAGAGGCAGAGACACCAAGTTTTTAACCCTGACAGCTTCCCCTTCGTAGGCATCATGGAGATAACTACACCGACAGGGAAAATCTGGAAATCCTGATGTTTCCGAGACACAGAACAAAAATCTCAGACATTAACGAACAGGAGTAATAGCCTGCAGCTCTCATAATCAACAAATAAGACTAAGCATAAGCACAATTTTAGATCACTGGGAAGCCAAAATTCAACAACAGATTCTTCTCAGAAAGGAAACTTTTCCCCTTTGCAGGACTTCATTGAACATTAACAAAAGATAATTCTCCTAGTATTAATAACAGCCTAGTTTTTGCTAAGTACTTACTTCCATTTTTCCTTTTTATTGCATGCTTACTACAAATCAAAAGCATCTCTAAATGACATAACTATATAAATGGCAGGTTTGAGTTAAACATGGGACGTAACCTCAAAGCTCTAGTTAAAACTTGACTGATCCTGTAAACCTTGCGTCACAGTCACACTGTCAAGCCTCCCTCCATATTCCTAACTCCAAGCCTAGGGCTGTGTCTCCTAATCCAGACCATCTGCTAGCTCCTACCCCATCACATTAAACCTATGATGCCAACAGCTCCAAGGGGCACAGTGCAGTATGGCAGATACACCGACCTAAAAAGCTACAGCCATACAGAAGTACTTTATAAGAAATCATCACAGCCTGTACCTGCATTTACACGTAGATTTTTGGCTCTGTCCACAAGCTCTGGCAGCCATTTCTGAGCCTCTCCCACTAGAATTGCCGTAGACAGGGCCATGCAGCGTTGGCCAGCTGCTCCAAAAGCAGCTCCAACCAGCTGGTTCAAGGTGTTCTCTTTATTGGCATCGGGCATCACCACACCGTGGTTCTTGGCTCCCTGAGACATAACACATACACAGTCTCCCATTATTAATCACCCCAGCCCACTTCTCTAGTTCTCTGGCAGCATCTTCGCTGAGTAGCTATGACTCTGCTACCAACAAGCTGGCAAGAAGGGCAGCCTCATCACTTAACTATCGGTAGCAAAGTCAGCTGCTGCTGCTGCGTGGCATGGTCCCTCAACATTCACCAGAGACAGAGGCAGCCTGTGTGCTGGAGTGTGTTCCATTCAGAGGCATTACCATGTTGGCCTGGACTCTCTTGCCATGCCGGGATCCTCTCTCATAGATGTACTCGCCAGCCTGATTAGATCCCACAAAGCTGATTGCTCTGATATCCGGATGATCACAAATGAAATTCACAGCTTCAAACAGGAAATAATACATTATATACAGCGGTGCACAAATGCTTCCCCCTGTCCCCATCCCCACAGTGTATCTAGGTATCTTTCTTCTTAGCAAAATTCCTGCCTCTGCTTCCTACATTTGAGTTCCCCCACTGTCTGTCCATGCGTATCTCCACCAATTTCTCAGCATGGGTACTCCCACCCCTGTGCTCATCTCTCTGCCACCTCTTCAGGCTCTGCCTATCTCCCAAGGTGCCTGAGCAACACTGAAGTGAAGTTACTGTTGTCTCACCTGTATCCTCATGTTCTGAAGGTACTTGCATGCTGTGGAAACATCACATTAGGAGCTAAAATACTGGCATCTGATTCATATTCAGTGAGGCAATTAATTCTTGTTTAGGCTTCCTTGTGAAATCAAGATGATTTATCTACTTATTTCAGTTGGAGCTCAGGTTGCTAAATAGAATTTGAGCACTTACATACCTTGGAAAATCTGACCCCAGACCCCAAGATTTTATCCACCATATGTCATGAAAGATTTGGTGAAAGATGGCAGAGAGTCTCCCGGTCACTTCCTCTACACCAAGAGGGCTGAAGCGCCTGTCCAAATCTATCTAACAGCAGCAGTATCAGACTGCTTCTTTAGTACCTCCACTGGACATACAGAACACACACCTCAGATGCCTTCCAAGGGCTATTATTACCTTCATGCTGTCCATGGATGATATTCAGGGTCCCATCGGGGGCACCAGCATCCTGAAACAGCTTGGCAAGGAACATGAGTGCTCCTGGTACACGCTCAGATGGTTTCATCAAGAAGGTGTTTCCACAAACCATAGCCATGGGGAACATCCAAAGAGGAATCATGGCTGGGAAATTGAACGGTGCAATTCCAGCACACACACCGAGAGGCAGACGGTAGGTGTAAGTGTCCATGTCTTTAGTGATGGAGGGCATGGTCTCTCCCAGTATGAGGGATGTCACGCTGCAAGCATGTTCAACCACCTCTGCAGCAGAAAGGGCAATACGCCACTGGATGACTGGTTAACAATCACTCCCCAAACTCCCTTCTCACCACCGCCTTGATCTAAGCCTTTCTTCCAGCCTCTTTTCCCACAACTCAAAACTCATTGTGCTCCAGAAAATACCTTTGCTCTGCCAAGCACTGTGAGCTCACTGTGAATGGATTCTCTCAAGTGCATTTTATGTCACTGGGACAGGAGCACAGACACAACAGCCTCAGTAAAAGAAGCATGGGTATAGTGTTAGTGTACCACCTGGACCTCAACCTTAGACATCTGAGCACAAGTCAGAAGTTCTTATCCCTTTACAGCCATGTGTAGGAATTCCTAGCTAAAGGAAGGCTCTAACAACTTGGAAGTGATTTAGGGTAACTCAATTGAAGGGAGATTTCCAGGTTAGAGTTACAACTGCGCCTTTTCTTTCAGGAGGCTGTGAAAGGAGAGCAGACTCCCAGAGCCATCAGTTGCTCAGGAGACCTCCCCTATCCTATAGGTTCTCAAAGCCCCTTTTTTTAACAGGAGGAGCCAGCAGCTTACGGAGGCCTCGGAACACATCTCCCTCAGCATCAGCCAGGGTCTTCCCTTGCTCAAAGGTGATGAGTTTTGAGATTTCTTTCTGAAAATAGAAAAGATGAAGATTATGAATGTTGGAAGTGCCTGCCCATGAAACAGGCTGCAGGGGTAAGAGTTTAACAGAGAGTTGAACATCACAATAAAGGCTGGGTAGGGCCTGGGAAAGCCTACACTGATTTGCTCCTTGTAGATAAGAAGCCAGTAAGGCACACAGGTGACATTTTAGAAAAGCGAACCGTAGGTTGGCTTATATTCTCTGTCACACCACAAACACACAGAAAAAGCAATCTGGGGAATCCAAAGTCACAGTAACATTCTTGTCCCACTTGTCAGCTGGCACATTCTCCATCAAGGCTGGAAGCTCCCCTCATGGTCTCTCAATTTAATTCCTAAAGTCAAACGCAATGCACTGAGCAACAGCCATTACACAGAGCAGTGGTGTCTCACCAGATTGTCTTTGATGAGCTGTTGATAGCGCAGGAAGATTTGCTGGCGACTCAAAACAGACGTCTCTGACCAGTTCCAAAAAGCCTTTTTGCAAGAAGCCACAGCTGCCTCCATCTCACTGGCTGGGGCTTTTGGTACACGGCCAACAACTTCATTTGTGGCCTGAAGTGAAAAACAAAACTGCATCAAAAATCAACTTTTTCAGCTGTCCCTACCATCAGTCATGGTCTTTTCACACCACACCCCTAACATCCCTGTTCTACAAGGCACTGTACTTCAGAGGGGAGAGCACACAAGAGAGAGACTCCTTCCTGGCTGCACATGAAAGGCCTGGGCTACAACCCGAATGGTTCTGCAAACTCGCATGTTACACATTTCAAATTAGGCACCCAGAAAGCTGCCAATGTAGCGCTGGTTTCCAGGCTGGAGTTGACTATGGACCGTGGTCTTTTCCCTCTGCACCATCTTGGCTCATCTGCTGTCCCTCCTGCACATTCAGTGAGGCAAGCTTCCTTTGGAAAAAGCAGTACGTGACTGCACTTGGCACTGATGTTGGTTTACCTAGACCACTATGGCCAAAGTAAGATTTTTTACAAGCAACCTCAGTTCTACAGTATTTTAACTTCAAAAGCTTGTCCTGCCAGCTTAACCTCCTTCTAATGCACTCCTGAAAATTAAGTCTGCTTTGATGTAATAGAAACATCGGGTACATCACTGTGAGAGAAACTACTCAAGAGAAAGAAAATTAAACACCAACATTGGTTGCCACACAGAAACCAAATGAGCTTCCTGAACATGGCTTGCTGCTCTTATCACTTCCACAAAGCAAATCGAAACGGGGCTTTACAGAGGAAAGAAATGCTTACTAGGGAAGTCAGAAGGGTCAGACTTGAGTGCAACCACATTTCCATTTGTCTTTGGTGGATGACTTGGACACGTACAAGTGCTACTAATCCAAGATTATTCTGCGCTGCATAGCATACAACCTCTCATTTCACTGTGAACACTGTGGTTCACAGACAGCAGCTCTCTGAAAGTAGAGGAGCTTCAGCTGACAGGATATTTTACCTTGGTCTGACAGTGAAATGAGTCTCTGCCAGGACTTCACATTCAGCTGGCACCAAATCATACCAGGTTGGTTTCACATATAGAGTGAAAGAAAGCCTTCAGAAATTTGACATACTGATAAGAAAGCCTTTCTATGAGGAAAAAAAAACCCGTATGCGGGGTTTAAGCTTCCTTTCTGGAGATCAGGTTTTTACTATACAGGGGAGATGATAAAGGAGGTCATCACTTCCTAAGACTGACATTTCATGTGAACAAGAAATTAAGAAGCAATTACACAGTGCTAAATCCATCTTAAGCTCCAAGACTAAGCCCTTCTCAAGAAATGTATGTACTTTCCCCTTTTGCCAACTGCTTGAACAGAGGCACAGACACTTCTTGCACAGTGATCGCTAACACAGACACTGAGGCCAGGTCACTTACCGGGTTGTGGATATCAATCCATTCAGTAGTTTTGGACTCAACAAACTTCCCATCAATGAAGAGTTTTGTTGTTGGCTGTGGAGGACAAAACACTGGCCAGTGAGTGATCTTTGCCTCAAGATGCCCAAATACCAGTGTGCTTCATTACACGCAAGCCTTCATCATTTACCCCTACGCTACCCGTTAGAGTCTAGATCCAGTATTTACAGCAAGACGCAGCTAACTCCTTAGGCTGAGATTTTTCATGCTCCCTGCTCTGTTTTTCCCTCACTTTACATCAAAATGGCCAAAATTCTTTCCAAAAACAGTTGTAGAAAAAACACATTGTTGTGTTTATGTTCAGAACTATTTCATCTACTTAATCACTCAATGTTTACCAAGGTAGAAAACTGAAAAACTGCGACTCATAAATGTTCAAAAGAAACAGTTAATAATTCACCGTGTGAGAATTCCATTAACCCAGTGCACACTGTGTTTCCTTCCCACCAAGTAGGTTCATCTCTTCACCTCATAGCTACAAGCGTAACGTTGGACTTTCCCCATTCCCTGCAGCACGAGCAATGAACCTGCATCTGCTGAGTTCACAGTGACTGTCCTGGCAGGCAGCATGGAGAACAGGTCTTTCCAACAGAGGCGAGAAAAGGGAAGTTTGGAATAAGGACGTAAACATGGGGCTGAAGGAAAAGCAGGGGTAGAACCTGTAACTAGCACTAGATGAGCAACGAATCTGTAGCACGCTGGAAAACAGATTGGGACTGTATAAAGAGACTGGAAACTAGGTGTTTATATTGGGAGGTAAGGAGAGAACGAGGAGAAAGCAAGAACTAGTTAATCGTGCCCCAAAACAGTAGCTTGGGAGGAATAGATAAGAGGAAGGGGAAACGGATCTGCTGTGTGAAGAACAGAAATGGGACACAACAGATCAAAAGAACTGGGCCATAAAAACAAATGTATCAGGGAGCACTGTGAAGAAATTAGGATTTGGAATTATGAGGGGGAGATGAGGATTGAGATGCTATCCTCATCAAAGGAGAGACATCAGGGGAAGAGTAAAGGAGACAAATGGGGGTGGCTGAATAAGCAACAACAGTGAAGAAGTGAACAGCAATGAGAGCTGGGACAAACTGAAAAGGCAGGAATGGGATGAGAGGTATAAAGTGTGACTGTTAATGGATAAGCAAGACCTATCGATTTGAGAGGTAACACCAGGAGTGGGTCCAAAAGAAAAAACAATTGCGGATGATTATGTAGCTGGAATGCAGCTTGGGATTGTGTAGCTTGGGAGAGAGACAGAAATCTGTGCCTACGAAAACACAATTTTGTCTAGAACCTAGAAGGAAGTGCAGGTAATCCGAGTCCCTGGTTTGCTGCTGGTCAGAAAAGGTCTTCTAGTGCTGGTGTAAAGAATGACAAACTCCTACTGCCATCAGTCACCCCATTAACCCAAGTGCCACGTACCTGCTGTGGACCTACAAGCTCCAGAGCTTTAAGACCCAAATGGACTTCAGTGCAATGGAATTTATGCTTTTTTTCAAATTGCTTAAAAGGGCTATCTAGAAAATCACACATACTGAGAAAAAAATATTGTAAGCAAGTCAGAAAAGGCTGAATTAAGATTGATTACTTTTTCTGTAAGATCACCACCTTTTTTTTGTGTGGGGAATGAACCCGCCGTGGGAACAAGGAAAAAGCTGTCTATTTGGAGAATCATGGTTTAGCTGTTCAGAACTTGGAGTGCGGACAGCCATGGATACCGGGATGAAAAAGGCACTGTAACAGTTGAAGTTGTTCGATACTGCCCAAAGGAAATCAGATCCTCTCTCTGCCATAAATAGATGATATCAGGCCAATCCACACAGCTCGAAACGTTATCATTAGTCGTATATTTCATATTCATTTTTGACGATTGAAGAGATATTACACGTGGTAAAAGACATCTAAAAATCGGGGAAAAAAATCCCGGCTGGCGTGTATTTCGCACAACGTGCGCTTCTTCAGGGTCATGGAGCAAACCAGAGGCCGCGATCAGCGGAAGCGAGCACGGTCCCCTCGTGTACCTGCTGCCCCTGGCAGGGACGGCTGCAAGAAGCACCGTGGGGTGACCACCCCGAGTGACCCCGCCGCGCGTTTCTCCGCTCCGGACTCAAACCGACCCGACGCTGGACTTGTTCTTCCCTCCCTCCCTCCCGCTGAGCACCGTGCACGGGCAGTCCCAAACGCCTGTTCCAGAAATACCAACCCGGAGTCACCGGGAGGGGAGCGGAGCTGTGCAGGCACGGACGACCTTACACGCCAAGACCCGAGGAAAGTCTT